AGCAGGAGCGGCTGCTGGGCCTCTACCAGTACCTGCACAGCCGTGCCCACAATGCCTCCCGCCCACTCAAGACCATTTACTACACAGGCCCCAACGAGAACCTCCTGGCCTGGGTAAGGTGGCCCTGAGATGAGCTGGGCTTCATGGAGGTCCCAGGTAAGGGCCACAAGGGGCATCTAACCTAGATGACCAGCCTTTGCCCCCTTCTCCAGGTGACAGGTGCCTTTGAGCTCTACATGTGCTACAGCCCCCTGGGGACCAAGGCGTCAGCTGTCAGTGCCATCCATAAGCTGATGCGCTGGATCCGCAAAGAGGAAGACCGCCTCTTCATTCTCACGCCTCTCACCTATTGATGGGAATGTATGCGGGCTCAGCCTTCCTAGGCCCACTGGACAAAGGAAGCCATGGAAGCCTCCAGGTGGGGCTGGCCTCTCTTGCTCAGCTAGCAGGCAGGGACTGTGGGTTGGTGTATGCATTAAAGTGCTTTGGAGAAGACATTTGTTGAGCCCTGTCACTGTCCCTTCTCCCGTCTACTCTCACTTGCATATACCAGATTCTCCTTCCTAGCTCCTGCTCATGATTCCCCATACATGGGGTGCATGCACATTTGAGCCCCTCTCCTCCCTCCCTTGCATCAGCATCAGGCCGCACACATTCAAACTTGGACCATGGGCTGCTGTTTTGGTTCAGCTGAAGTCCTGCCATATGTAAAGGGTTCTCAGGCACCTTACTGCCCGACTCTACCTACTACCCAACCCCTATACTTAGTCTGAGCCCCTGATGCCTGCCCCTCTCACTCCTGGGTGGGGCCCCCAGTTTCATGCTATAAAAGATCACAAACTACCTTGGGAGCCCTGGCTGTGGCTCTGCTTGATGGGTTGCTGTAGTTCTGCAGGGGCTGAGCTCATAAGACAGCGACGGTCAAAATAGGGGGAGTCTGAGCCCTGATATGAGTGGGAGCACTTGGTGAGACAGCCCAGTGTTCAGCTCAGACACATTCAGAGTCCTGCCCTCCTGTAGCTGCAGGCCTCTGGAGAAACTGTCCCTGCATAGGCTTCCCATGAAGGGCTATCTTCCTCAGCTCCCCTACCAGAGCCAGCACTTTCCTCAAAATGGCCCCCAAGGCTGAGTGTGGTGGCTTACACCTGTAATCCCAGCACTTTTAGAGGCCAAGGCAGGAGGATCGCTTGAGACCAGGAGTTTGTCACCAGCCTGGGCAATATAGTGAGACCTTGTCTCTAAAAAAAGGAAAAAAGAAAGAAAAATGTACCTCAAGATGGGCCGGGCGCGGTGGCTCACGCCTGTAATCCTAGCTCTCTGGGAGGCCGAGGCGGGCGGATTGTTTGAGCTCAGGAGTTCGAGACCAGCCTGAGCAAGAGCGAGACCCCGTCTCTACTAAAAATAGAAAGAAATTAATTGGACAATTAAAAATATATATAGAAAAAATTAGCCGGGCATGGTGGCGCATGCCTGTAGTCCCAGCTACTCGGGAGGCTGCGGCAGGAGGATCGCTTGAGCCCAGGAGTTTGAGGTTGCTGTGAGCTAGGATGACGCCATGGCACTCTAGCCGGGGCAACAGAGTGAGACTCTGTCTCAAAAAAAAAAAAAAAATGTACCTCAAGAGTGAGCTTGAGGGTCTGAGAAAAGGCCCAGTTGATCTTTAGAGCAGGAGTGGATCTGCCCTAATAAGGACTGATGCTACTAGGTGCACTGGGCCCTCTTCAGTCACCCTATTTCCCCGCATGGCATGGCCCGACCTCTGTGGGGCACCATGGACATCCCAGGATGCTTGACAGTGAAGGCCCAGCCCCATTGACTCTATCATGAGACCGTCTTTGGGCAGAGCTCTGAGCACAGTGCAGACAGCTTCCACCTTGCTGCTGGGGGTGGGGGTGGGGGTTCCCAGTTCTGCTACAGCTTAACCATCTCATTGGCCAGGGGGAGGAAAATGCCTAGGAAGTACTTATGGGAGAAAACTGTCCACTGATTGTGGTCTTCAGACTGTCAGAGAGAATAACCCTCATGTAATCTTTGAGAGTTGGGCGAAGATTTTCAACCACTAAAACCAACCCATGTTGGAGAAAGTTTGTGTGGGTGGCATGGGTCAAGGGTGCACTGGAACAGTTGTACTTACTGTCCTGGAAAATGACAGCATAGCCCCTGCCCTTGGCCTCAGTCTGGATCACAATAGAATGGGCATGTCAGCAGCCTACCAATGCAGATTCCAAAGCCCTTGGGGAGCAGCCACAGGCTTGGTGGGTGCTGCTTACCCTGCAGACATGTCCTGGGTCTCTTTTCTGCCTGTTTTCTGCTTCTGTTCCACCCCTTGCTCCTGGTCAGGACACCAAACCACTGCCTCTGGGGCCTAGGTGATGCTAGGCCAGCTGTCCTTGTTGTTACTGGTGTTCTGGTCAACAGTCAACTCTTAAGTTCCTCTCTTGATTGCCCTGACCCCTGTAGGGTTCTAAGCTTCTCTGCAGTTCAGCATGTATTCTGGGCAGGGACAGGAGGAAGGGCTAGTTAGATAAGTGTGTGTACCTAGGAGCATAGGCATCTAGGAGTGTGGCATTTACTTGTTTGGGGATCAGGGGTGGGATGACAGGCAAATAGAGTCAGTGTTCCTAGTGGAAGAACCAGCATGTGCAAAGGAAAGGACCAGGTAAAGAACCTGGTATAACTGGTTTACAATGGAGCTGGAGGGGTTCTCAAACTCCAAGTAAAAGTCTGACATTAAGGAGCCATTGATTTTTATTTTATTTTATATTATTGTATTGTATTGTATTTTAATTTAATTAATTTTTTATTTTTTAAATTTTTTTAAAGGCTGGTCAAGTGAAGCCATTGATGTTTTAAAGTTGCAGTGTGATGCGGTCATATTGCAGTACTACCACTAAGTTGATCTCCAGGGTTGGAGAAAGAGGTTGGATCTAGTCCTCTGGTACAATGTTCAAAGGGGACTGAGAGCCCAAAGAGGGCAAATTGGCTAGCATTTTTTCAAAGTGACAGATGCCAGGGCAGTTGGGTAGCTCCTAAGCCAGCTATGGGCCAGGCCTGGTGAGTTTACCTTGGGGAAACCTTTGTTCTTGGCACTGCAGGATCCCATTAGCTGACCTCCCCCACACACCTTGCCTGCCCAATCCCACAGATGGGGAGGGGGAAGGGGTGCTCCTGTGGACTCATGCTGTTTTGAGGACCATGGCTGCCTGAGACAGGGCATCTGCCTGGGGACAGCCATCAGCATGGCCACACAGTGGCAGCAGAGAACCAATTGATGGTGCCTGCACCCCAACCCCAAACAAGTAGGCAGGATGATCTAGGAGGGCTTGTGAAGTCTCCTCTCAACCCCCAGAAATCTCTCACAACGTCTGGAGGTGGGACAGAGGTCACAAGAACCCACGTCTGGGTGCCAGGCAGAGAATGTTTCATTTCAATTTTGCCCTGCATGACTATCTTTAGACGTATTGACCGTGGAACACAGGAACTGTTTCATGGTTTTTGCTGGGTGCTTTTTCATTTCCAGGCCAATTCTGGTTCAGGAAGGGAGCACCTTTTATGTTGCCTCCCTGCATTGGGTGTGGCCACCCCATGTTCTGTTTCCTCTCTCACTCACCAGGTGTTCATGGGGCTCCAGCCTGGAAGGACGGGGAGTCCTACACTGGGGGTGGAGGAAGAGGGGTGTATCCAGAGTGAACTGTCCTGGGGTGGGTGTAGCACAGGGTCTGTGGGGCCCAGAAGAGGGGTCTGGCACAGACTGGATCATGAAGGCTTCCTGGAGGAGGTATCATCTAAGCTGCAAGAAGGGGAAGAACAGCACTTACAAAGGTCAGGTTAGGAAGGGGATACAGGCACATAAGTATGGACTGGGTAGGGAAGTGAAGGAGATACAGCTTCCCCGGCCAGGCTAAATCCTGTTAGGCTGAGGGCTCCTCTCTCCCCCAGCCCCCTTATTCTCTACAGCCCTGGGATCCTGGTGGCCAGTCCAGAGCTGACCTGTGAAGCTTCCCCTTCTTCCAGGGTCCAGGCCTACCTGGCTGAGCGGGCTTTCAGGCTTAAGTTTGTCCCCTATGGCCCCCCTCCATTGCTGGGGGGATCAGGTGCTAGGGGACAGCTCTTGAGGTCCAGGTGAGGGAGATGGCAAGGCAGAACTAGGCTCTACCCACCCACCCACCCACCCTTACATAGACTGGAGAGAGAACTCTGGGCCAGCCCCTAACCAGAACTACATTCTCATGACAGAAACTCAGATCCAGTAAAGCTTAAAGAGCAGGTTGGAGGTGCCCTGAGAGCCAAAGCCCATGATCCCCCTGTATCAGGGGGGCACTGAGCAGAGCCAGCAAGAAAGGGGGGTTCCTTCCTGAGGTCACATCATACAGCTTCCGTATACTGAGTCTGCACAAGAGGGACCAGAGCTAGGCTTGGGCCTCCACATAAGCTGCCTCTCTGACTCTATGTCCAGCCAGCAGGGCCAGGCCCTATCCTAAAACCCTTATGGATGGGCAGGGCACAACACACCTTCTTCTAACACCTTCTTGCTGCCGACAGCTCAGGGCAGGCGCATAGAAGGACGGTTCCTTCCCACAAAGGGTGGCGCCCCACACCATCCCTTGTTGGGGTCCCCCACATCTCCTCTCTGGTCTTCCACATGTTCCTAGACTTTGTTCCTCCCATGGTGGGCCCCCCAGGCTGCCTCTGGGAACCACTGAGGGTGTTGCTGTAAGCTGTAAACTAGCTCCACCTGAAGAAAAGAGCTAAGTGTCGCCCCTTTCTCACCTCGACCCTGTCAGTTGTGAGGGGTCGGGATGGGACGGCTCAGACCTGCTCACTTCTCTCCACGCCACTGAGAAAAAGGCTCCCAAGGGCCGGAAGAGTCGGCTACGCGGAGGGCCTGGGCTGGGCCCAGCCTTCCACGCGGGCCCGCCCCTACCGCCCAGCCCCGCCCCGCCCCTACCGCCCGCCAGCCCCGCGCCCTCGGGTCGATTTAGCTCTAAGCGCCAGCTAGAAGCGGCAGCCCGGGCGGCAGGTGAGCAGCTGTTCCATCCTTTGCCTGTGTGTCCGCAGGCTTCGAGTGCTCAGACCTGAGGGCAGGGGAGGGGGTTGGGTTTCACAAGAACGCAGGGGCGGGGGTCGGCTGCCCCGGGGCTCTCCGAACCGCTGCTTAACGCTGGCCCAGCCCAGATCTCTGGAGTCAGACTCACAGGGTTCCCCGAGGGACCCAGCTCGGCCTTGATGGAGCTCCTCCCGCCGCTGCCTCAGTCCTTCCTGTTGCTGCTGCTGCTGTCGCCGACGCCTGCTGTGCCCACAGCGGGCTGGGACTGGCAGTGCCCGCGAACCCCCTACGCGGCCTCCCAAGACTTTGACGTGAAGTACGTGGTGCCCAGCTTCTCTGCCGGCGGCCCAGTACAGGCCTTGGCGACCTATGAAGGCGGCAGAGATGGGAGTGCCGTGTTTGTGGCCACACGCAATCGGCTGCATGTGCTTGGGCCTGACCTGCAGTCTGTGGAGACCCTGGCCACAGGCCCTGCTGGAGACCCTGGCTGCGAGACGTGTGCGGCCTGTGGTGCAGACTCCCACGGCCCACCTGGCGACACAGACATGCAAGTTCTGGTGCTGGAGCCAGCACTGCCCGCGCTGGTCAGCTGTGGCTCTAGCCTGCAGGGCCGCTGCTTCCTGCATGAGCTGGAGCCCGACGGGACAGCCCTGCACCTGGCAGCGCCATCCTGCCTCTTTTCAGCCCACCACAACCGGCCCGAGGACTGCCCTGACTGTGTGGCCAGCCCACTGGGCACCCGCGTGACCGTGGTTGAGCAAGGCCAGGCCTCCTACTTCTACGTGGCATCCTCATTGGACGCAGCCGTGGCTGCCAGCTTTAGCCCGCGCTCGGTGTCCATCAGGCGCCTCAAGGCCGATGCCTCAGGATTCGCACCTGGCTTTGCTGCGCTGTCAGTGCTGCCCAAGTACCTCGCCTCCTACCATATCGAATACGTGCACAGCTTCCATTCGGGAGCCTTCGTCTACTTCCTGACCGTGCAGCCAACCAGTGTGACAGACGCTCCTGGTGCTCTGCACACACGCCTCGCGCGGCTCAGCGCCACCGAGACAGACCTGGGCGACTACCGGGAGCTGGTCCTCGACTGCCGCTTTGCTCCTAAACGCAGGCGCCGTGGGGCCCCAGAGGGCGGACAGCCCTACCCAGTGCTGCAGGCAGCCCACTCAGCTCCAGTGGGCGCCCAGCTCGCCGCTGAGCTGAGCATCGCTGAAGGCCAGGAAGTGCTATTTGGGGTCTTCGTGGCTAGCAGGGATGGCAGCCCTGGCGTGGACCCCCACTCTGTCGTCTGTAACTTCCCCATTGACCTGCTGGACACCCTAATCGATAAGGGTGTGGAGAGCTGCTGTGAGTCCCCAGTGCACCCGGGCCTCCGGCGAGGCCTTGACTTCTTCCAGTCGCCCAGTTTTTGCCCGAACCCGGTGAGCAGAAACAAGGGGCCCTCACCTGTGAGCAGTGTGCATGCAGGTGGCTGAACACAGGCTGCTTCCCTCCGTCATTGACAGGTTCTGGGAGGGGGAGGGCAGGCAGAGAGAAGCTTTCTCTTTCACCCAGTTCCTAAGTGCTGGGGGCGGTATGAGAAATCAGCCAAAGGCCACACTTGAAGCACATCTCCTAGCAAGGCTGGCTAGCCCCTGCCCCTGCCTCATTTTGCTCTTTCACCTTCCCATCCATCATGGCCTCTGATTTTTTCAGGTAGTTTCCTTGGTTATGTGAGGATGGGATTGCACCATAATTGTCTCTCTGCCAGCACAGCTCTCGAACTCTGGGTAGAGTGATGGACATCCCCTCCTAGCTGCCTACCACTCATACTCTCAGAAAAATACCATCCCCCCACATGCACAAATACACAGGCAGAGGCTCACAGATTCACACAGACTCACAGCTGCTGCCAACACAGTTTCGCTTTCCCTTGTTTTGCTCTGCTTTCCAAAGGGGGTGGGGCAGGAGTTGTCAGAGAATTTCCCCCCACCCCCACCAGGTTCTAGGGAGCCTCCTGGGCCTTGGAAGTCTGGGAGCTTTTTGGGGAGCCTATGTGGCCCGGACTTCACTAACCCATTCTCCATAGGGTGACTGGGGAAGGACCTGGGACATGTGGGAAGGCAGCTTGGCTCTAGAAGGTTCTGGGAGCCTCACCCAGTCTTGTGCAAACAACTACAAACATCTAGGGATGAGTAAAGGCCTAGGAGGGGCTGGTTGGAATTGGTCTACCTCAGACTTTCTTCCACCATAGTTGAGGCCCTAGACAGGAGGGCCTAGACAGGAGGTCTCCCAGTCCACGCTGAACTGAGGGCTCCTTCCAACAGACTCTGCCCAGGTTCTCTCCAGCCACGGCCTGGGGAGCGGGAGTAGAAATAAACAGGATGCTCCTTAAAATGCTGCCCTGAAGACAAAACTAAAACTGATTCCTTGAAGCCATTGAAACAGTCCCACCCAAGATTATAAGAGAGTAGAACAAAGGAATGGGACCCACAGCCTCTGCTGTAAGAGTTTCCATCCTGTGTCCCTGGCCCCACTGTGACATTCTCAGCTGACTCTAGCTCCTATTGATGCCTCAGAGGTGGGAAGGGAAATTACACCCAATGTGAGGTGGGGGATCTTCAGCCTCCCTCCTCTGGGTACATCAGGGTTGAGAGGCCCTAGGGGTGGGGACTCTTTGTCTGCACCTGGGCAGCCCTGCCTGGCCCCTTCTCCTTCTCTCTGGGGAGTCAGAACCTCTGCCTAGCTCGGTCAGTAGGTCAGAAGACACCCAGTACTACTGGGCAGTGCCAGGCTCCAGGCACTAACCTTGGGCCCTACCCACAGGCTGGCCAGACCCCCAGGAGGTGTGTGAACCAGTGTTTGTTCAGTGACTCTGGGCATGCAGCCACTGGGGCAGCACACACTGCATGCTCCTAGTGGTTGGCCATAGGAAGCCTGAGGGACTCAGAGCTGGTGCCTGTCCTCCATGGGTTCAGGTAGGATGCAGGTCCTCAGTGGGATATTGGACACATAACAGCATTTTCAGGAGTTAGGGGCCCCTAGACAATCCTGGGAACTCAGAGCTAAGGCCCTGGGGCCTAGGGAGGAGCAGGCAAGGGGTGTGGGCCTAGATGGGGCAGGGCCTCTTTTCAGCCTCAGAGCCCCACCTGTCCCTGAGTCATGCTAAAAACACCTGGTAGGCTTCTAGCTAGGGCCAAGCTGCTTTCCTGCCTCAAGTGAGGACAAAGTCCCAGTCCCCACCCACCCAGGGTATGTGGGGTTTCTAGGCCCAGCGCTGCACCTGCGTTTGCTCCCAGGGCTGCTGATCAGCATCAAAGTGTTAAGACTGGGTTAAGCCCATGTGGTCTTATGGGGGCTTCAGAGGCTCCTGCCTTAAGGAGTGCCCTCAGGGATGGTTAGGGAGGGCCTGGAGCACCTAGGGCTGGCTACTGAGCCCTGCTTGCACCTCACGCCCAGCTCCAATACCTCAAATTCATACCCTCACTTTCTGGTTTCCCAGAAGCTTCCACAGTCCTGCCTTGGGACATGAGTGCCTCCCCAAAACACCCCCTTGCTAAGAGCATAGAAGAGTTTAGTGTCTCCTACCCTCTAGAGCCTAGTCTGACACCCAGGCTGTAGGGTCTTGGTTTATCCCTTCTGTACCCCGAAGGAGGTATAAGTAGCAGCCAGTGGTACTAGGAGACCTTTGGAGTCTCAGGGAGAAGAATTATGTTACCACCTTGTGCTGGCCAATTAACCTCAGAGTTTAGCAAGTGGGGAAACTGAAGCCCTGAGGGGACAGGGTTTGCTGAAGTGCACACAAAGAGGCAGAGCAGAACCAGCAAGGGCTGGAGAGGTCTCTGGTTAAGAGCTCAGACTTCCAACCTGGCTCCTCTCCTGGGGGCTATGAGGCCTTGGACGAGTGACCAAAGCTCTCTGAGCCTGTTTCCTCATCTGTAAGATGGGTGCGTTGAGAGCACCCACTCTACAGAGTGGTTGTGAGGATGGAATGGGGTTGGATCTGTGAGACTCAGTAACTCGTTATCAGAATGGACATGGCAGGGTAGGGCAGGGAGTAGGGGGAGCTGGCCTTCCAGCCTGGGCCTTCTTCCCTGCCCTTGCTACTCTGAGAGCTCTGTGGGGGAGGTGGAGGCAGGTCCAGTCAGGCCAGATGATGAGTGGGAGTTGGGCTGCTGTGGTCACTGACAAAGGACCCCAAGGGTCAGTGTACAGGGCTGAACCCTAACTCCTTCCCTTCCCTGACCCTCCCCAGCCTGTCCTGGAGGCCCCCAGCCCCAATGCCAGCTGCCGCCACTTCCCTCTGCTGGTCAGTAGAAGCCTCATGCGTGTGGACCTATTCAATGGGCTGTTGGGACCGGTGCAGGTCACTGCATTGCACGTGACACGCCTTGACAATGTCACAGTGGCCCACATGGGTACAACTGATGGGCGTATCCTGCAGGTAGGTTCTCATCCCCATACCCCCCAGCCTCTGGATCCCTGTCCCCATCCCCATTTTGCTCACAGCTGACCTATCCTAGGTGGAGCTGGCCAGGTCACTCAACTACTTGCTGTATGTGTCCAACTTTTCACTGGACAGCAATAGGCAGCCTGTGCAGCGGGATGTCAGTCGCCTTGGGGACCACCTACTCTTTGCCTCTGGGGACCAGGTGAGGTGGGTAGGGTCAGGGCCTGGAGCCAGGGCTGTGGGAGTCACAGCCTCTCCATCTAATCCAGGGAGGCATTGACATATGGGTGTCACCACCCCAGTCTACAATGGGATGAGGAAGGTCTAGGGGGCCCAGGCCCCACCTTCCAGCCACCCCTGAGCCACCTATCTGCCACCCCAAGGTCTTCCAGGTACCTATGCGGGGTCCTGGCTGCCGCCACTTCCTCACCTGCAAACGCTGCCTGCGGGCACAGCACTTCATGGGCTGTGGCTGGTGTGGAAGCATGTGTGGCCGGCAGAAGGATTGTCCCGGCTCCTGGCAACGAGACTACTGCCCGCCTGAGCTTTCTGAGGTATGGCTTCCCTAGCAGGGCACAGGTAAGGGTGGGATAAGCTGGGCCTGGGTGGTGGTCAGCAAGTCTTGACCACAGTCTTCCTCAGGCTTGGAGTGTCCTCATTATCTGCAAGGAGGGCATTTTTGGCAGAGGGAATGGCACATGCAAAGACTTGGAGGCAGGAATGGGCTTGAATGAGGACCAGCAAGTGACCCAGAATGGCTGGAATATGGCTCAAGCAAAGGGTTTTGGCAGGAGACTTTGGGAGAAGCAGAGGGGGCTGAGAGAGCCCAACCCCACACAATGATTCAGGCTATCTGTTCCTCCCATTTCAGTTCTATCCCCACAGCGGACCCCTAAGGGGCAGCACAAGGCTGACCTTGTGTGGCTCCAACTTCTACCTGCACCCTGCTGGTCTGGTACCTGAAGGAACCCATCACATCACTGTGGGCCAAAGTCCCTGTTGGCTGCTGCCCAAGGACATCACAAAACTTAGGTACAACTTCGTCCCTCCTTTATCCCTGATGGGGCAACCAAGCTGCCCCTTCCCTATGAGACCCTATTTTCTGCTTGTCAGGGGCAAGGGAGTAGGGGGCATGCTGCAGTGGCTCTTGCTTCTTTGTGTCTGGGGAGATGTCTCTGTCCCTTTTTGAGTGTGCACGTGCCCTATCCGTCTGTTGACTCATGGACCAGGCAAGGTCAGTCTCTGCCCCACCAGATCCTGCCTGTCTTGGAGGGAGGCATGGGTGGAAAAATGTCATCCTCAGTCTCAGAGAAGCCCTGGGACTTCTGGTGGGCATGCAGTCAGGCCTGCGTGATTCCCAGCTGACAGCAGGGGTTCCCTTGGTGCTCTAGCCCAGTGCCCCGGCAGGACTTTGTAGAGGAGCTGGAGTGTAAGCTGGAGCCCTTGAGCACCCAGGCAGCAGGGTGCTCCAACGTCAGCCTCACCGTGACTAACATGCCACCAGGCAAGCACTTCCGTGTAGACGGCACCTCCATGCTGGGAGGCTTCTCTTTTGTGGTGAGGCCACCTTGCCCTGTGTATGCCCTTGACCAGTGGGTGGTACAGGAAGGGAAAGGCTTGGAGTGGAGGACCTGTTCTACCTAAGCCACCTCTATGCCCTCGTAGGAGCCTGTGCTGACAGCAGTGCAACCCCTCTTTGGCCCACGGGCAGGGGGTACCTGTCTCACCCTTGAAGGCCGGGGCCTGTCTGTAGGCACCAGCCGGGCTGTGCTGGTCAATGGGACTGAGTGCCAGCTAGAACGGTAAGTACCACCAGGCAGCCTCACCAGGTGGGAGCCTAGATCCTGTCAGGATGGAGGGAAGAGGGCTCTATCACATGGTCAGTGTGGGGAGCAGGTCTAGGAAGAAGGGTCTACTGCCCCCTCCAGCCTAGAGGCAAGAGAGCCCATCACAGAGTCCACTAGCTCCAGCAAGGCTGTGGGGAACCTGTTCCTTCCCTGCCCTTTTGGAGGTCTTGCTGGGACCACCCTATCTTCAGACCGTCCCATGGAGTATGGGCAGGTGGGGGATATGACAAACAGTGGAACTGGGAGTGATTGGCAAATATCACCAAAAAAGGGGTACCCCTGAACCCAATTCTTCATTCCTGCAGGGTCACTGAGGAACAACTTTTATGTACCACCCCCCCTGGGGCTGCCACAGCCAGTGTCCCCCTTAGCCTGCAGGTGGGGGATGCCAAGGTGCCTGGTTCCTGGACCTTCCACTACAAGGAAAACCCCATTGTGTTGAGCATCAGCCCCAACTGTGGCTACACGTAAGTGCCACCTCCTTGCTTACTCTGGCCTCTGCGGAAGCCAGCCTCAGACAACACTCAAAGCCCACCACCCTGCTCTTTCCACAGTGGCTCCCATGTTACCATCCGTGGCCAGCATCTGACTTCAGCATGGCACCTAGTGCTGTCATTCCATGATGGGCTTAAGGCAGTGGAGAACAGGGTGAGCAGGCGCTGGCCAGGAGGGAGGAAGGCTGGGCCGGTCCCCTGAGCTCCAGCCCCACCCCATGTTGGGCTGAGGAGACTGGGGCAGCCACAGGTGGGATGCCTAGCTAACCACTCTCATGTGGGTCCCAGCAGTGTGAGGGGCAGCTTCCGGAGCAGCAGCAGTGCCGCCTGCCTGAATATGTGGTCCGAGCCCCCCAGGGGTGGGTGACAGGGAATCTGAGTGCTTGGGGGGATGGAGCTGCTGGCTTTACACTGCCTGGCTTTCGCTTCCTATCCCAACCCCACCCACCCAGTGCCAACCTAGCCCCCCTGAAACCTGAGGAGCATGCCATTAAGTTTGAGGTAAGTGCAGGGGATGGGGCAGGGACAATGGGGGATCAGGAGGTTGGGGGCTACTGGTTGGTCTTCATGACTGTCTCTGCAGTATATTGGACTGGGCGCTGTGGCTGACTGTGTGGATGTGAACGTGACTGTGGGTGGTGAGAGCTGCCAGCACAAGCTCCTAGGGGATGTGGTTGTCTGCCCCCTGCCTCCATCCCTGCAACTTGGCAGGGGTGGCGTCCCATTGCAGGTAGGCAGCCCAGCTGGCCCTCCATGGGAAACATGGGCCAAAGGCCTGCAGGCTAGGCCTGAACTGCCACCTGCCCCTAGGTCTGCGTGGATGGTGAATGTCACTTCCTGGGTAGAGTGGTGCGACTGGGCCCAGAGGGGGTCCCACAGAGCATGCTCCTTGGTGTCCTTCTGGCCTTGCTCCTGCTTGTGGCTGCACTGGTCACTGTGCTGGTCTTCAACTACTGGCGGCGGAAGAAGCAACTAGGTGAGCTCTCCACTCCTACCTTGACTCAGCCCCTACTCACAAACTATGCCCAGGCCTTGAGGATGAATCTTCTATACCTCCCCAGTGGGGGCCAGCCCCGAGGAGCTTAGAAAGCCTGGCCAGCAGGGGCTGTCTTTCCACAGTTCTTTCTCCCAGCCTGGATGACCTGGCATCCCGGGACCAGACCACTGGAGCCATGCACCTGCCTGTGCTCCGCTCGGGCTCTGACTACAGAAGTGGACTTGGTGAGATGCTAGAAGCCCTAGAAGCTAGGGCCACCCCCTCTCCCCACAAACCCCTCACTCCCTCTTCCCACAGCACTCCCTGCTGTTGATGGTCTGGATTCCACCACTCGGGTCCACAGAGCATCCTTCTCAGACAGCGAGGATGGATCCTGTGTCCCACTGCTACAGACAAAGTCCATCTGGCTCAGGGACCTGGACTCTGCGCTCTTGGCCGAAGTCAAGGATGTGCTGATTCCGCATGAGCAGGTGGTCACCCATAGTGACCGAATCATTGGCAAAGGTGCGGGGACCAGGTGGGGCTGGGGCAGAGGTGGAGTCCTGAGATGACATAGGCGCAAGGGAAAGTTGAGCCAGACTGTGCTCTGGCCTTCTCACCAACCCGTGTGACCATTGGTATACCACCAAACCCCTCTGAGCCTCCATTTGCTCATCTGTGAAAAAGAGATTAGAAGAGTTCTATCTTCAGTGGGTTCTGGTGTGGATTAAGTGGACATGGGAGGATTGCGGGCACTGCCCTCATGCAGCTGCTGCTTGTTTCTCTTTTTTCTTTTAATTTTCTTTTTTTTAGAGTCAGGGTCATGTTTGTTGCCCAGGCTGGCCTCGAACTCCTGGGCTCAAGCAATCCTTCTGCCTCAGCTTCCTGACTAGCTGTCACTACAGGTACACACCACTGTGCCTGGTTTCCAGTGCTTATTTTTTTTGTTTTTGTTTTTTTTTTATTTGAGACAGAGTCTTGCTCTGTTGCCTGGGCTAGAGTGCCATGGCGTCAGCATAGCTCACAGCAACTTCAAACTCCTGGGCTTAAGTGATCCTCCTACCTCAGCCTCCCGAGTAGCCGGGACTACAGGCATTCGCCACCATGCCCGGCTAATTTTTTCTATGTATTTTTAGTTGTCCAGCCAATTTCTTTCTATTTTTAGTAGAGATGGGGTCTCACTCTTGCTCAGGCTGGTCTTGAACCCCTGACCCTGAGTGATTCTCTGGCCTCAGCCTCCCAGAATGCTAGGATTACAGGCGTGAGCCACCACGCCCGGCCTGCTGCTTGTTTTTAATGTCAGATTGGCCAGTTTGGTGCTCTGAGGTCTGATTGCCAATGAGAAGGTGTGGTGTGAGCCTTGGGTACCGGAGCTTCTCTCATCATCTCCCTTTCGCCAGGCCACTTTGGAGTTGTCTACCATGGAGAATACACAGACCAGGTCCAGAATCGAATCCATTGTGCCATCAAGTCACTGAGTCGTAAGTGGCATAGGGCTGGGAGGGCAGGGGGAGGAGCCCCAGGCTGTGAGGGTTCTTTTTCCTTCTGTGCTACCACCTTACTGAGTGACCCTGAGAAGCAGACCTTTATTTCTCATTGCCAACCTGACCTTCGTAAAGGGCCTCCCTGCCCTAAGCCTGACTCAAGCCACTCTACAGGCATCACAGAGGTGCAGGAGGTGGAGGCCTTCCTTCGAGAGGGGCTGCTAATGCGTGGTCTGCACCATCCGAACGTGATGGCTCTCATTGGTATCACATTGCCACCCGAGGGGCTACCCCATGTGCTGCTGCCCTATATGTGCCATGGAGACCTGCTCCATTTCATCCGCTCACCTCAGCGGGTCAGTGCTCAGCTGGTGTTGGGTGGGGGGACTTGGACAACAGCTGGAGATGGAACTGCTTTGCCCTTGCCGACCAAACTCCCTGTGCCCCCAGAACCCCACCGTGAAGGACCTCATCAGCTTTGGCCTGCAGGTAGCCTGTGGCATGGAGTACCTAGCAGAGCAGAAGTTTGTGCACAGGGATCTGGCTGCGCGGAACTGCATGTGAGAGGCCAGAGTAACTGGGGTGAAGCAGAGGGGGCAGGGTACAGGGGTACGCAGCTGCCCAAGGCCACCTCAGGGAAGGGCCCACTCTAACCTTTGCTGTGCAGCCCTGGGCATGTCCTCCCCTCTCTGGGCCTCAATTTTTCTGTCTGCCTGGTGAAGGCTTAGGATGGACACTGTGGCTCTGAAATTCTGTAAGGGCCTGGAGCACATGGGTTCAGGGCCTGGTAGGGGGAGTACTAAGTGGGATTTCCCTCCCTCCCAGGCTGGATGAGTCATTCACAGTCAAAGTGGCTGACTTTGGTCTGGCCCGGGACATCCTGGACAAAGAGTACTATAGTGTTCAACAGCACCACCACGCTCGCCTACCTGTCAAGTGGATGGCACTGGAAAGCCTGCAGACCTATAGATTTACCACCAAGTCTGATGTGGTGAGGCCCCCACCTGCCTTAGCATCCACATGGCCTCAGCACCCTCAGCTCTGGATGATCTGAGCCCAGGGAATCCCCAGGCTGGGCAATCCCCACAGCCCATTTGCCCATTTCTTGGGCAGATGTAAGATGGAATCTGATACCTGCCAGGGCAAGAGGAAGCCGTGAACTCATTGGCTCCTCACTGATAATCCAGGGTCTGCCCAGCCCCACCTCTGGGCAGGATGAGGTGATGGGAGGATACTTGTGAAGTATCAAGGAATGAGCTCTCAGTGGAGGACTGAGTCCCCCATTTCTAGCTGAGGACTTTGGGAGGTAGAGGCCCTGGCAGGACCACCTGCCTCCAAATTTGGGGTGAGAGTTGAGTCCCCTTACCTTTCCCTTCCCACAGTGGTCGTTTGGTGTGCTGCTGTGGGAACTGCTGACACGGGGCGCCCCACCATACCCCCACATCGACCCTTTTGACCTCACTGACTTCCTCATCCAAGGTCGGCGCCTGCCCCAGCCTGAGTATTGCCCCAATTCTCTGTGAGTATATGGAGGTGGTAGTGGGAAGGGAACTGTACCCCAGAGACAAGGAAGGGGCAGGAGGCAGAATTCCTGCCTGGCTTTCCGACTGACCCTCTAGTTGACCAGGAAAGGGACACTCTGTGGGCCTCACTCAATTTCCTCATCTGTGGGCTGGTCCCACCCCCATGCGGGGCAGGACACTGGGAGGACCCCACAGTTGCCATGGTAACAGCATTCTGAACTCAAGAGTCCGTGTTGAGGGCAGAGATTTTATTTCCTAGCACTCTTCCCCAACTCCCACTAAGGGGGGCTGTTTACCATCCTTTCCACTCGACCTCAAGGAAAGATTCCATTAGCTCTCACAGTAGCCCCCTCTGTATCTGCAGATCAGGATTTTTTGTCACTGATATAGTTTCAGATTCCCCCTTCCTGGAGGAATGATGGCAGCTGTGTTGTCCTCAGTGCCTATGGGGTGGGTTTGGTGCAGAGTTTCAGCTTCATAAGTAGCAGGCATGCCTCAGCTGGGTCCAGGTCTGTGTATAGTTAGAACAGAAAGAACCAGATCACAGGTAAAAGTAGTTGATGTCTGCTGTCTCAGGCTGTGCTCCAGAAAGGATGTGAGTAGACTTTCCTCACAGCCCTACATGCCTTGGGTTTGATTTTTATTATTCACTTCACTAATACTTCTGGTTTAAAGGAATGGAAATTAACTTTACTGCCTACCTGCATCCAGGTTGGGCTCCCTGAAACAGACTCAGATGGAGATTTATGTTTGGGAGGTTTGTTGGTCAGTTCAGGGTAAGGGAAGCAGGACTGGGCAGAGGGAGAAGTTGTGCTGTGATGCAGAGGCTCTAGCCTATCCCATAAGGACTGCTTGAGCTGGGATAGCCCTCTGAAATTGAGTTTTCCAAAATTGAGACCAAGGCCAGGTCTTTGTACCAGGCCTGAATCAGTTATTGGTCATAGGCTATCCCTGGTGAACGGGTATGAGCTTGGCAGAGGCAGTTTTCTTCTGTCTAGGGCCTAGAGAAGGCCTAAGCCAAGAGCCATCAGCAGACAACACTCCCAGCACTGGGAGAATAATACGGGGATCTGGGTGGCACACCAGAGTGTCCAATTCACTAGGGAAAGTCCCTTCTCTTCTCTAGGCCTGTTTCCTCATCTGCAAAGTACTACCCTCAGAGAGTCTGAGGATTATATGAGATACTGTGTGTAGGGCACTTAGAGTACCATTTAAGGCAGGGATGACATCCCCAAGGTGACAGGTCATGCACTAGGACCCACCAGGCAAACCCAGAGAACTGCTTGGGAACCATGGTGCCACTGGTGCTACCACACTGCTCCTGCTTCAGGGCTTTTAATCCCTATTTCACTGAACCCAGGCTTCCCTCATGAAAGACCTGTGATAACCATGATAGTTTGTGAGCTGGGCTGTGTGCTAAGCACTTCAAAGGCATCCTCTCCACCCTATGCCCCTACTTCTCTATGACCAGAGGAGGACCCAGAGGCACAGAGAAGTTAAGGAACTTGCCCAAGATTGCGCAGCCCAGGCCATAGGGCACAGGAGCCCCTAACCCCTGAGGTAATTCAACCTCTGCCAGGGTGGGAAGGCAGGAATGGAACAACAATCATAGTGATAAGAAGAGCTGCCCCTGATTGGGCAATGCTGGACACTAGGCCCTGTCACCTGTCCTCATCCCTATGTGGCTTAACAGCAGAGGAGTGGCCTAGAATCCCTGGGTGGAGATACACACTGCCCCTGACATCCCCCTCCTCCCCACAGGTACCAAGTGATGCAGCGATGCTGGGAGGTGGACCCAGCAGCGAGACCTACGTTTGGAGTGCTAGTGGGGGACGTGGAGCGGATAGTGTCTGCACTACTTGGGGATCATTATGTGAAGCTGCCAGCAACCTATGTGAACCTGGGCCCTGGCACCTCAGATGAGGTGAACATGTTCCCAGAACAGACACCGTCCCCACCCGTGCACAGGAGCACGTGGCGGTCCCGGCCCCTCTCAGAGCCACCTCGGCCTACTTGACCTAATCCTTGGGCTGGATCTGCATAGCAGCCTGGAGCTAACCCCAAGTTGCCTCTAAGCCACACCAGGCTGGAGGGCAGTGGGCCTCCACCTTGTCCCTGCCCTTTAACCTTCAGAGGCGATAGGTGAGCAGGGCATATTAGATCCTTCACTCCACAGAGTGAGCCAGTTAGGGCAGTCCTTCTGCAACATGTATTTATGGAGTGCTTGCTATGTACCTTGCCTTCTGGGCATAGGGGACTCAGCAGTGACCACACAGACACTGACCCTCGAACCAGTAAAGAAAAAAATGAATGTTTAAGTACAAATTGTGATAAGTGATGTAAAAGAATGACAGGAGGCTGCTTCGAGTAAATGGAGAACTGCTTTAAATAGAGAGGTAAATAGAAAGGTGAAGGATGCCTCCCAGGAGGTGACATTTTTGCTGAGGCCCTATCAAGTAGGGAAAAACCACCAGAATCAGAGTTGAGGGAAGAGAGTTTTTGGCTGTGTGAGCGGCACATGCAAAGGCCCTGAGGCCAGAATGGGGTTGGATCAGTAAGAAGACTCCTGAGAATAGGAAGGGTGGGCAAGGCCCATATCCAGGTAACAGGGTCCTAGGTACTGTTGAATAGAACCAAAGAGGTAAGTTGAGTACCCAAGCATGAAGTGGCCAGGATGGTTTCTTCTATGACCCAGGCTCCCTGTCCCCCTGCCCCTGGCCCTAGCATTTCTCCAGGGCTCCCTGCTCCGTCTGCAGCACACCCACTACAACACACCGTCAGGGGCATGGAGACCTGCCAGCCCCCCAACGCTGCCAGCATTACACTTGCAGCCTTGAGAGAGATGAGCCAGCAGCAAGGTCTCAACTCTACACTTTCAAGGAGCCAACTTCGAAGTGCCAAATGCCCAAGCTATTTATACTCATCAAGGCCACTGCACAATAGCTGCTAGAGGGACATGCTCCTCTGGGGAGGGAGAACAGTTTCCTCCTCTTCCTCCCCTTCCCCTATACCCTGACTGCTGAGGGGGCTGCTAGGCCATGCTGGTGCAGGTAGCTGGGGCACCAGGGTGCCTGGTCCCAGGACAGGGATCAAGGTATTTCTTCTCCCTTACTCAGGACTCCCATGGCCTCTATCCCTTCAGTTGGGAGACCCCAGCTCACCCTAAGAGTGGCAAGTTTCCTCCCCTCTAAGTCCCCAGCTTTGTGCCCTGTCACACATAGAACCCTGGGTTTGGAGCAAGAGTTCCCTGCTAAGCAGAGTGGGAGTCTCCTTGGGACAAAAACTGCCCAGCTGTTCTTTACCCATACTGCTGCTCACTCTGTCACCTCAGGACAGAGAGAGGCCCAGTCTTGGAGACCCTAAGGACCCTGAGGACAGTGGGTAAGGCTTAAAAGGGGACTCTTCTGCTTGAGTGCAGGGGTCCAAAGATCAGGAACCTGTGAGCTGAAGGGGACAGAGACAGGCTGTCTGCCTGGTTATTGCTATGCCTCTGATGCAGGCACTGGGGAGGTTATAGCCTTACATGCTTGGCCACTGACCCCTTGTCTCTGTGTATGAGCAGGAGACAATTGTGTTACCCCTGAGGCTGGTAGAGAGGTGAGTTGAGTATAATGGAGCCCCCTCCTCACACAGCTGTGGTCCCTATATGAATTGGGAAGGTCTGCCTCCATCCTTCTAATTTGCAATCCTCACCCCTTACCCACATCCTGGGGATCTAAGGGTCACTCAAAGCCTAAGAGTTCCTTCCCCACTGAGCTCTCCGTGGCTCAGGGACTACTACTGGCTTATCTGTTCACAAGAGAAGCTCAGAGAGGAAAGGGTGGGGTTGGGGATAGGACAGGAAGGGATTTAGCATGGAAAAGGGTCCCAGAGAAGGGAGATGGGAAAAAGCTCAGGGGGTATCAGGTTTCCTGCACAGCCAGAATATGGGGCTTTGGGCCTATTTCTGGGCCAAGGACCTCCAGGGCCAGAATTCTCCAGGGAGAGGCTCCAGTTAAGCAGGCACTTGGGGTCCTGCATTGTGACACACCTGCCCCCACCCCCAACTTCTTCAGTTCCCAAGCTCTGAGCTCCATTCTCAGAGCCACCTGATAGTCCCAAGCCCATCTGGAGTGTCAGGAGCTGAAACTATTTTAGGACTTCAAATTGTTGACTAGGCTACCAGGGAGAACAGGTAGTTCTAAGTCCCTGGATAGGCTAGGGGAACCAGGAGGTTTCTGAGTGACCTCCAGGACTGGTGAAGGCTGGGCTGCCTCTCTCCTGGGGGAGGCTTGAGTAGTAGCTCAGGTATGGTACTGAGGAGAGGGTTGCTAGTGGCTATGGTAGGCCTGGGCTTGCCGCCAGGGTGAAATGGGGTGAGCAGAGGTTTCTCCCAGGGCTTTAGGAGACCAGCCTTCCCACTAAGAGTTGTGGAGAGCAGGTACCAACTCCTCTGCCTCATCTCCCTCCATCTTAGCTTAGTGAGGCTGGGGGCAAACAGATGCCAGTAAAGGCTGTGGGGAGGCCAGGGTAGGAGCTGAGGCTGAGGAAGTAGCAGATGACTCATACCCTCCTGATGGCCCAGTAGTATCACTGTCATCTGGCACCTGGAGGGCATGTGTGGCATGGACTGACCTGCTTTGATGGGGTACCATGAATCTAGCCTGAGAGTCTCTTTATGCCTCAGTCCAGCCTTTCAGGAAATTTTCCCAGAGACCCAAAATCTCTCTGGAGGACACACCTGAGGGCTCCAGATATAGCCCTATTCCAAACCCAGTCTCATTGTTGCTCTCTGGGAGCTCAGGAGCCAGGCCCATGGTGGTTCCTATTTTGGGCTCAGGTGGTAGGAGCTGAGAGAAGTGGTTGACTCCTTGGTGTGCCTCAGCATGGGCAGAGGCAGAGGGACGAGCAAGAACCAGAGGCTCCCAATGCCAGGGGCATCTTCACCTTTTCTCCTCTCTGATCCCTTTCAGGTTGGTTTAATCACCTGCACACTTTTGTGGCTAGTCTTGGACTGGGAACTTGGTTTTGTTTGTTTTTGTTTTGAGACAGAGTCTCATTCTGTCATCCAGGCTAGAGTGCCATGGCATCAGCCTAGCTCACTACAACCTCAAACTCCTGGGCTCAAGTGATCCTCCTGCCTCAGCCTCCCAAGTAGCTGGGACTACAGGCACGCACCACCATGCCTGGCTAATTTTTCTGTTTTTAGTAGAGATGGGGTCTCGCTGTTGCTCAGGCTGGTGTTGAACTCCTGACCTGAAGCGATCCTCCTGTCTTGGCCTCCCAGAGTGCTAGGATTACAGGTGTGAGCCATTGCCCCCAGCTTGGACTGGGAACTTGGGCTCTGGAGATGCATCAGGGAAGGCAGGGGGCTTGAAGCAGCTGGTGGCCAAGATCACAGGATTCAATCAACTCTGAAGCCAGTGCCGCCTCCCTTGAAGCCTGTGCCACAGGTCCCTCCTGGGATATTGCACCCTGGACCATGGAGAATCAGAGGCCCCAGAGGAGTCAGCTCCACCCCCGGGGTACCATGGCATTGACAGCTTCAGCCAAGTGTCAGTCCTGCTGACATGTCCCTCTAAGCCAGGGGGCCCCTCTTCAAAGGGGGAAATGAATCTTTTGGACAGCTCCAGTCACCCTGCCCTCATGGGCTCCTCCCTGGTCTCTTTGACCCAGTCATCTGTTCTTAAAGTCACTCCTACCCTCCACTGGGCCAGGGTTCCATAGGAACCCAGAAGGAGGGCAGCTCTTCTCACATTCCCTCTACAGGCATGGTTGGAGGTCTCTTCTCAGCGGTCATGAAGTTATGTGTGCTTTTGGCAGCACCTCCTTTGCCCCCACTTATACTGGCTTCTGGATTGTGGGGGGCTGCTCCCAGGAAGGGTGAGGAGTTCTGCCAGCTCGTAAGCCAGCTGTGGACAGCAATCAGGGTGGCTGTGCTGTTGCCCTCCCTCTAGGCTGGTGCTGCTGGCCATCTTTCACGCAGAGTTACGTAAGCTTGAGTCAATTGGGGCTCAGAGCAGTTCATTGTGGGCTATTTTTAAGCTGCAACACATCACAGCAGAGGGGTCACTGCACTGCGCTGGCTTGCAGGGAAGGTTGTTTAAACATCTGTTATTTAAATTTCCCTGTGCCTTAGAGCTTAAAAGCATGTCCTCCTGGAACAAGTGGGTTCTGCCTTCCACATCCCAGATTAGGAATGGATTATCTCCCCTCGCCCTGCATACGTTCCCCTATGGCTGGGCTTCTCTATCCTGGGTTGCCTTCCTCTGGGGTCAGGCAGGATGACCAGGGATCAGGAGGTGCCAGCTGCTTTAAAACATGGTCCTGCCTCCATGGAATGGGTATATCCTGGCCAGGAGAAACTTTAGGGAAGCAGGAGGTCTAAGGCTCACAGGTCGCTTAGATACCTCCAGGGAGAATGGTCAGGAGAAGAAGGCACAGATAGAGTACCTGGCATACAGCTAGAAGACTGAAAGTGCATCCCTTCCTCCTTGGGGGCCTCAGTTTCACATCAGCACCTAGAGAGGGTTGAATCACAAGATCCTTTTTAGGTCTTTTCAGAAGACTGCCTTTGCCTGGGCTGTGCTCCTAGCTGGAATATCCTCCCTCTGCAGATCTAAATCCTACCGTCTGTAGCCTCTGGGGCGGAAGGGCTGGTGTATGAGCCCCTGGGCAGTAGCCAAAGATGAACCCCTGGGGAAACAGGCCTTGCTTCTCACTCCATTACCAAGCCATTGGCTGCACTGGGAGCCCTTTAAAGCTCGTTCTGATCCTAGATTGGAGATGTTCAGAGCCTTCACGGGGCACAGAGTGGAAGGCAGGTAGAGTGGGCCAGGGATTTGACAGAGCTATCTGCCTCCTGAGAACACAAGGGAGCTGAAAAGAGGTGTGTGTTGAAGGAGGTCTGGGAGACTTGGTCAGCCATAGAGCTCCTGGTAGAGCGCAGCCTCTGTGCCGCTCCCCTTCGTGCCCTTGCCACTTCCCCACCATCCTCAAGGCCTCCTATGTGGGAGAGTTCCAGCCTGATCCACAGGGGAGAAGGGCTTCTCAGGGTGACTTCACCCTCTCCACAGGTATTGGAGCCTTCCCCTCAATCCTGCCTGAGGGGAAGTGCAGTGAAGTGTGAAGTGGAAGGCAATGCCAGGTCTTGCCCTCACAGAGGAGACTCTGTCTGGCCTCACCCTCAGCCCAAGCTCCTTCCAGCTTCTTCTTGCCACGCACCCCCCACCTCACAGCCCTCAGCCTGGGGAATGGGCTTGGCCTGGGGGAGGGGCTCTCCAGATTGCCATGGCAACATGTTGGCCCTCCTCACTTCCCAGAATCAGAAATAGAATTGGATGCCC